AAATATGCATCCCGTTATTAAAACAACTCCGCACATCAAAATGTGTTAAGACTACGCCCACAAATGTGTCTGTCTTATGCTTTCATTAATGAAGCTTGCTGAACACCTGAAGTCAACTTTTGCTAATATAAACCAAAATGACAATGTTATTGAAATGAAACCGTTGCTGAGAGAAAGTAAAAATTACTTCTGAAGTGCTTTGCTTACATTAGTGCAATGAGATGGAATTTGATGTAAGACACTACCTTAGGATTTTTGCTTTTGAACTGACATTGAAGAGGCACACTAATTCACACCAGAGAAGGGAGCAGAAAGCCAAGGAAAACTCTCGAAGTTCCTATTACGGAAATCAACCACACAAAGAAAAAGATAAACATTTAAAATCTGCAGTACACCGCTGCCCCTGCAGACCCCCAAGATCACTGCTTCAAGTCCAATAAACGCCTCTCAGTCTGCCAGCCTGCACTGTCATGGCAGACCCTCCCTGCAAACTGTCATCCTCTGCTTCAGTATCCCTCTGTGAGACAAATTTGCATATAATATTTGCTATCAATTCTTCTCCCAGCAATAGGAGATGTTCCTCCAAAGGTTTAACCTGTGACAAGCCTCCCCACTACCTCCGAGCCCAGCGGAAGGACACGAACTCTGTTTCTCGACATGCAGACACGGATGTACTTTCTGATAGATGGCCACAACTACCAAGTTGCTCCACTTGGTAGGAGCAACAGCTCCTACCCCAGTGATACGATTAGTCTGAGATATTTTACTGGTGCCACCATGTGCCACAAACCTGTGTCTCCACACCCAGAGCCTGAGGGATGAATACTCCTGCTACACACGTTTCGGCACCTTGGAAGATTTTAATAGGTTTACCAGGCACCAGCTGTGAGCCAATCTATCTTGCTGGCAGCTGCAAGTACCAGACTGCTTTATGCTTTCCTTTTCTCTGGTGTCCAGGTAATCTTTGGTTTTGGAACTTTTTGTGAACGTTAACAGCATCAATCATGCATCAACAGCAGAGGCATGTGGCAACAAGAGTGCAGAGCTGCCAAAAGCAAGGAATACCCATCAAAGAAATTCTTACCAAGCTCTCTATTAAAAAAGGAAAGAAAGAAAGAAAGGTAGATAGAAAGGAAAAAAAAAAAAAAGAGAACACCACCCAAACCACAAATGTACCCACACACTATGACTCCCCCAAACCTCGTGGCTGCTGGGGACCTGTTCCCTAATCAAGCCCTGTCACATTTCTAAGAATCCTCAACACCATCTTTGGACGTGGTGATTTCTGCTTTGTGTAGTTATTCTTAGCTGTGTGCAGAGATGGAGAACTACTACCGTAGCCTTTTCATTTTGAAAAGATAGTCTCTATTTGGATCAGCTTTGCATTGAGAAACACTAAAGAGAAAAACAAGCCACACGCCAACACTCCTGGTCAGCTATTCACTGTGCAAAACCAGACAAGTGCTAAATCTGCTGCAATCCCTACTAGAGGTATTTCCGTCATACAGGATCTCCACTTCATGCTTTACTGTGAGGCAGTAAGGTAGCTCAAACATCTCACCCTTTAGCATACCTCATTCAGTTCCCAAATCGCCTATCCCTGTCTGAAGAGCAGCTCACTCCTGAGACAGGGCTAGAAAGAGAAAGCCGTAGGTAGTAACCTCCTCACTGAAAGGCCATCGGTTAGAAATAAAAATTTATTCATGCCCATGTGACTTTTTTTTTTTTTTTACCAAAGACTGGACTAAGTTCAAAATAAGCATGAAACAGAAACGTAGGAAAAGAGAAAAGCAAACACTAGCAGAGAAAAAATTTAGCTTCAGCTATGGTTGATTCAATCTGTCAGTCTGAAATAAAGGGGTAAGTAAAAGCAGGAGATCACCAGATAGGCAATGCAAACTAACACAAAGGATGAAGAGCTCTCTTTCTGCTCTAAGCTGGGCTATCTATCAACTTCAGGATGAGAAAAATCAGTGAAAAAGTGATCAGTATTTGTCCCTTT